AACAATGGTGAGAACTATAGTATCCATATCTAAACAATTGTGAGAACTATAGTATCAATACCTAAACAATTGTGAGAACTATAGTATCAATACCTAAACAATGGTGAGAACTATAGTATGCATACCTAAACAATAGTAAGAACTATAGTATCAATACCTAAACAATGGTGAAAACTATAGTATCCATACCTAAACAATGGTGAGTTTAGGTATGGATACTTTAGTTCTCACCATTGTTTAGATATGGATACTATAGTTCTTACCATTGTTTAGGTATCAATACTATAGTTCTAACCATTGTTTAGGTATGGATACTATAGTTCTTACCATTGTTTAGGTCTCAATACTATAGTTCTCACCATTGTTTAGATATGGATACTATAGTTCTTACCATTGTTTAGGTTTCAATACTATAGTTCAATGGGATAATATTTTTGAACTGTTTCTAAATTTGGCCTGGGTGCACTTATTAAACAATGGGATAATATTTTTGAATTGTTTCTAAACTTGGCCTGGGTGCACTTAATAAACAAAGGGATAATATTTTTGAATTGTTTCTAAACTTGGCCTGGAATCATGATATTGTTACGACAGTGGAAGTCACGTGACGCTAGTAACACGTCATGATATTCTTGAAGGTTCGTGAATGCTTGAGTGTTTGCTAGATGTGTGGTATTCTTGTATATAAGTGCACCAGACAATGAATCGATATAGAATGGCAGACAGACAGAGACGGACAATTCAGTCAAGCGCGGTAGTAAGTAAGTGCATGAAACGTTCGTAGTGGATTATAGCGTGTGTTTAAGTTAAATTGATTGTGGAAATTAAGCATATTGCAAAGTTGTATTGAGAAAGAATAAACTAGTTTTACTTAAGAAAGGACTTGTATCGCTGAAGTTTTTCGGAAGGAATTTTCACGGGAAATTAACAAACGACCAGAGACATAACAATATTATAAAGTTTCCAAGTTACACATCTCAATTAGAAATAATAGAAAATCCACATATTTATATTTTGCTTGAAATTTTATTAATTACTATAGCCTGTAATTCGAAATATTTAAGAAAGGCTACTAAACTCTGAAACGTTTTTGAGGTTTGTGCAAAAATATTGAAAAATTGAGAGTTGAGTCACTGAAGCCCTAAGTGACAGGTTAGGCTCCGTATGTACCATTAACTATTTATAACTTGGATTACTCAATATTCTTTTAACCTCTACGTGGTGTATGTATTAGGTATTTAACATTTTATAATGGTGGCTATGTTAGATCATTTCAAAAAGAAGGTAAACAATTAAGATCTAACATTAATTTAATTGGACCAGAATATATTCTCCTTTTTGCTTAAAAGCTTTAAATAAATGAAAGAAATGTTGTTGAATTTTTTTACCAGAAAATGTGTTTTACTAAAATGGAATAAAAGTATAACATTTTTTTCATAAGTCTACATAAAAAATGGTACAATTTATTTATTTATTCTCTGAAAAGATTGATGAAAAAGAAAAGGAGATTAAAGACTTCAAGAAGGAAGTAAAGAAAGCTAAAAAAGCTTTCAAAGACACCAATGCTGCTAAAGATAAAATGTAGGTATTTTTAGAGATTTATTTGGAATATTTATAAGTTATTTTGAAACATGCTACTAGGTGTTATACATTTTAACTACACCTATGACAATTCTCTATACTACTATAGTTTACTTTAGTTACAGTAAAAAAATATGGTTACGTGCACTTTTCACTTTGTAACTAGAATAATACTCCATTAGTACTATAGCTTGTCTTAATTGTAGTTTTGTGAATAAATGTTGTAACACATATTTTAATGTTATAACTAAAATTATTCATGATTGACCCTAGCTTGTACTTTTACAAAGAAATATCAAACATATTTTAATGTTTCAACTGAAATTAAATTTGATCAGCACTAGCTTGGTAATATTGTAGTTTTATAAAATGTTGTAACATCTATTTTAATGTTTTAACTTAAATTACTGTTGAACAACAGCAGCTTGTGCTTGTTGTAGTTTTCTAAAATATCTTGCAACATGTGTTTTAATGTTGTAGCTAAAATTACTTTCAATCAACATTATGTCACAGTTTTATAAAAGATATTGTTACTGAAATATTGTTTTATATTCTTTTTGAATTCATTCTGTTTGAATAACAATCAGTAGAATCTTTGGTTTTCATTTACTATAGGAATAAACAGGTACTGTTTTGGCTTGAAACTTTCACAACTGTAATTTTAACTTAACAAATGCAATTCAAGATTAGATGTATTTTTGTGTTTGTTAGTAAGCACAAAATTACACAATGAGCTATCTATACTGTGCCCAAGACAGGAATTAAAACCCAGTTTTTAGCATTAAAAGCCTTCAGACTTGCTGCTGAGCCACTTATGAGAGGGGGGCACAAAATTAGAGGAAACATTTCTACTCATAAATAAATTTTGTTAACTTTACAATGTGCATATATTTATTTTTACCTTACTGTTTGAAATTTGTAAAAGTCTACGTTATTCTTGTAATTGTCAGCTATTAAAGTTTTAACAAACACATAGTTTGCCATTAAAAACAACACATTCATTTCAGAATCACAAATCTTTGAAACATTGACTTTTATGCTTTTATTTACTTCTTTCTAAGTAATGGAAGAAAGCAAGAACAATAGTTTAAAGTGAAAATTATTTTTTGGTCTGTCTAGTATTTTGAATCGTAAGAAAAAGCGATTGGCACAATTGGAGGACCAGCTAAGGAAACTGGAAGTGCAAGCAACTGACAAGGAAGAAAATAAACAGATTGCTCTAGGTACTTCAAAGTTGAATTACTTGGATCCCAGGATTAGTGTGGCATGGTAAGTATGAAGTTTCAGAAATAGGAATCATAACTTATACTATTAAGATGCATTTCACTTTGTTTGGGTATTTAATTATTTTTTTTTACAATGTAAAAAAAGCCTCCACAGCAGCTGAGCAGTAAGACTTCTGGTTTATTACACTAAAGATCAGGTTTTGACACTTGCAGTGAGCAGAGTACTGATAGCCTATTGTGTAGGTTAGTCTTCAAAAACAAACAAACATACAAAAGCTAGATTTTACTTGCTTTTTTAGCTTCAATCTTAATGTTACTAAAATTGATTATGTTAAAGAATTTTGCTTAATTCATTTTAAACATTTTTGCTCATGGCCAGGTGGTTAAGGTGCGCGACTTGCAATCTGAGGGTCGCGGGATCGAATCCCCGTCACACCAAACATACTCGCCCTTTCAGCTGTGGGGGTGTTATAATGTGACGGTCAATCCCACTATTCGTTGGTAAAAGAGTAGCCCAAGAGTTGGCGGTGGGTGGTGGTGACTAGCTGCCTTCCCTGTAGTCTTACACTGCTAAATTAGGGACGGCTAGCGCAGATAGCTCTCGTGTAGCTTTGCGCGAAATTCAAAAACAAACAAACATTTTTGCTACAAACAATTGTAGTACAATTTAGAGGTCAGTTGAAAAGAAAATTTTACCTCAGCTACTCAAAATCTAAATATATTTTTTTTTTATTTACATCAGTGATGTAGGTGAAGGAATTTTCAATAAATTATTTAAATCTACTTATGATATTAAAGTTTAGGTGTTGCTGGCTGTTAGGAGGAGAAGGATGCTTTACAAAAAGGTTTGGATTATTTGGTGAGTTGGGCAAATAAATGGCAGTTGGCTTTTAATTATAATAAATGCAAAGTAATTAATGCATGTGGGAAATCACAATATGAATTATGAGTATCATTCTGATGGGAATAACCTTAACAGTGTTAGGGAAGAAAATTATCTTGGTGTTCTAATTGAATAGGGTTAATTTATTTTTCATATTATTAAAATACACTAATGTGATCTGAAATATTTATTAAGCGTTTTGTGCTTGAGCATAATGTTGGAATTAAGAATACCCGTGTAAAATTAAGTTTTTCAAACAAATGTTTTGAGATTGAAAATGAAGCATTGATTTTATGAGGAAAAAATGAAAAACAGTTCCGTGTGTATCTGTATTTGAAAAAATGCTTCAGAAGTCTTGTAAAAAATTTAGTTGAGAAATACTCTAGTTTTGTGTTTATGTTTTATGTTATCAAATAAAATGATTTATTAGCCAACTAAATAAAACTAAGCAAGATAAAACTTTATTGGTCTAGATATATTTGTTCTAATTAGGTGTAAGAAGTGGGATGTGCCTATTGAAAAGATCTACAATAAAACACAAAGAGAAAAATTTCTATGGGCTATAGAAATGGCAGGACCAGATTTTAGGTTTTGAAACTTTGTAGATTTATTAAAGAAAAACTGCCAGCACAACTTGTAAGTATTTTTCATCTCACTTTGTGTTTGTGGCATCAAACATTCTTTTATCCAACAGTCTTGATTGTTTGCCAACCAATCTACAGTGTAACATTTCTACATGGCTGCACAAACAAACAGTTTGTCTTTTTTCTTGAAAACAATTACATGTGAGCATTTTTCAAAAACAAGACAGCATCATGTAATATCCTACCTATTCATTAAACCTAATACCCCAACATTTCTTTAAAAGTAGAAAATTGTTCTTTTACCAGTTTTATACAAAATAAAATGGAAAGAAGGTTTGGTTTTTATAAGTTATAAGTAAATTGCACAATAACTTTTGCCACTAGGTGTTTTCGATGTTTATAAATGCTGTAGTAGAAATCTTCTGGTTCTGAATTAGTGTATTTTAAAGATTTATAATATGTTCAGTTTTTTTGTCATTTTTGGCAAAATTTGTTTTCTGTTGCTTGTAGTTACCGGTGTACGAAATTTATATAGGATTTAGTTTTTGTCAAATTAAAAAAATTAATTACTGAAATAAGTTTTGTTCATAAATCATATGTGATCATTTGCACAAAATTAGACCAGTTTGAATTTATATGATGTTGTTTCTTTAAATTATTTCTTTTAACTTTATGAATGAAGAGTATACTGTCATTAATTATCATTAATTACCTTGTTTATGAAGCTTTTCACAGTTTTTTTTTTGCATCAGACTCAAACATTTTACATAATGTGGTGTAGACTATTTAATTCTAATCGATGATGTTCTGTTGAAAGATCAAAATGAGTAAGTAAATTTTTGTACTTTCTTTCTGTCAAAATACTACTCAATTCTAAAAGTTGTAATTTTCTGAAATTGAAAGATCTGTCTATTAACAACTAGATGTCACAATGAGAAACAACATTTGACATTTTTTCTAATGCGTATATACTAAAATAAATAAGTCTTTTAGAATAATTAGGTGTGTTATATTCAAAACTTATATGCATAAATATAAGTTTGAAAACAAATTTAGAAATAAAACCTTGAATAAAATATTTATATTTATTTTACACCGTTTATTACAATTGCTTTTTGTAATGTTGAATCACTTTATGATTTCAATTATATTATGAAAAATATATTTTAAGAGTTTCAGTGAGAAATAAGTCATTTCTTGAAAATGATTCACTGATTTTTTGTAGTTTCAAGGGTCTGATTATTTATGTAAACAGTAGTTAGGAAGTGTGCATGTTTTTTTTGTTTGTAAGTGACTAAATAGATGAAATTAAATTGCCATCTAAAATGTATATAGCATATAATTAATAATGGGGATCAAAGTTTGTTTTGGTTGTCTAGCATGTGATTATTAGTGAGGCTCACAGCCAAGTCTCAGATATGCAGTGTGTGATAGAATATGCTGGATTTCAGCTACATATAACATGATTAGCATTGGAAACACATTTACAATGTGAAGATAATCAACAAATGTGCATTTATGTCTAAGATGCAAGTTGTGCATAACAGTAGATATGAAGAAAGACCTCAAGCATGTAGCTGATGATAAACCAGTAGACATGAAGATAAGTAATGAGCACTTAGCTTATAATAAACAGAGAATATATAGATAAAACTCTAGGATGTAACCTGAGTTTAGTAATATTAATAATCTTGAAGCTTACACGATGCTCGAGCCTCCTACACCAATAATATCAGACCACCATATAATTAGTACTCACTCTGAAGCTAAGTCTCAGATAAGTAGCATGTAATTAATAATGAAAGATGTAAAGTTAAAGCTGTGTTTGAAATATGTGGTAGTTAAACCTGACTACTGTTGTTGTTGTTGTCTTAAATTTTATGTAAATATGTTACTGTATACGAGTTGTAGCCATGAATGTAGAAGTTAGTATTTATCAGTGATTACAATATACAAAAGTATGTTCTAAAGAAATAAGTTTTAACACCCGCGAAGCACTTGTTTTGAATTTCATAGTAACTTTATTTAAAATCTATTTTATTCAGCTCTGACAATTAATTTGTTTTTAATATTTTTTAAATATTGTACAATATTTTTCCAATTAACCATTTCAACAAGATTTATGCACAGTGTTTTTAATTTTTAATCAAAAACATAATATAGATAACTAAAATCTGCAGCAACACAAAGATTTAAAATAAAGTGCAGTTCTTAAACTTAAAAACTGGATAATTGTGCTGCATCAACATTCCTACAGCCCAACTTCTTTTACCATTATATCTACATATATATATATGTGTATTCTTGCCATTCACTAAGAATACTTTGGTTCTTTATGGGATAATTTATTTATCAATTTTTCAAATCATATTGTATATCAGGTACAGACATGTAGGAAATAAATGATTTTGTAACATGCAGAGACCCCTAGTTTCTGTTTCATTAATGAGAATTAATTCAGTCTGTATAATTGTTGTACTACAGAAACTCATCCACAATCTAAATAAATCCTTTTGATACGTGTGTATTTTCTCTATCACTAACAACATTTAATTACCTTATCTATTAAATCCACAGGATTCATGTGTATTTTCTTTACCACTACTGAAACTTAGTCTTATTATTATTTCTCTATTACAGCTGAAACTTACCTCATCCACAATCCATGTAATTCCACAAAACAAGTTATGTTTTCATTGTTATCATCAAAGTTGCAATACTCTCATTCAGATATAGATATAAATACTTTTTTTATCAGCTAGTAGTGGAGGTTAGAGTAATTTAAATGTTTTTCAAATAAATTACTTGTAATTCCAACTAAAATTTTTTAAATTCTATTTGTTGCCTAAAATTATGATTTGTGGTATTTTCAGATACACTTATTTCTCTTTGGGTAATTGGAATAATAGGAATAAATAATTATTCCACAGAATAATAGGAGGTTTTACAGAAAACTATATTCAGTTTTACAGTTAAATTATATTTCCCAACTTTTGACTGAGTTGTGAGTAAGGAGAGAGAGACTGGACAAAAAGAAAAACACTTGAAAATCTCTTACTAAAAACAGACAAAGCAATCAAAATAAATGTATTCAGGAAGGATGGCACCTTTATATAGAAAATCTGTCAGAGAAGTGTAACTGTTGTATACTGAGAAAACGTAGCATTATATACACAAAACATTAATGGTATTCTTGTCAGAGCTTGTGCACTACCTACATGATTGTTGGACATGCCAATCACAAACCAAGTGAGGTTGTATCCTCGAGGGAACACCTGATCTGCCAGTGGAAAAGACCACTGTCCACTTCTACATAGTAAGTTCAAGTTTACAATAACCTTTCATATGAGCAGCTGTATAGGTTTTGATAAAGTATAAAACTGGAATGTTGGCAGTAAGTTAGTAGAATACTTGAAATGTCTGGTTATAGCCTTTGAAGATTACATGTTTTCTATCCCCTTGTTTATAATACAGTTTTCATAATTTTCATGTAAAAATGTGCACATTGTTGCAACATGCAATGCTGGTCATAAAAGTTGTTAATTTCCTTTCACCCTAGTTACCCATTGTCCTGGGTTATTCACTTGTGGTATCACATGTTCTTTCTCACAACCTCAGTCTTTAGAAGAAAGTTTTTTCTGTTTATTGTCTAATGTTTCAGTTTTAGACCTTCATCATGGTTATAACTGCAGGAGATTTCTGTCACAATGTTGTATTTATATTACCTAGCGTTTCTGCTTTAGATTTTCACCAATGACTAAATAGCCATTATTGATCTCTATCTCCTAAAAACCTAAATGTTTTTGTCATTTATTGTTTGAGGCCTCAGTTATCAAAGTGTGTAGTTGCTGGCTACCTCTATATCCAGAAAAAAAAGAAGTTATTTACTGCCTCTATATCCAGAAAAAAGAAGTTATTTACTGCCTAATGTTTCGGAGTACAGCAACATGACCAAAGATGTGAGTAATCTTTATTTTCAGGTGGAAAAGAAAAAAAATTATTAATTATTGTCTAACATTTCAAACAGCTAACTATACCTCTTTCTGAAATTCCATGATCTACCTCACAAAACCCAGGTGCAGGTATGCCAGACATGGTACACATTACCTAATTAATTATTCACGGGCCATGAAAGGGAGGGATGTCTAAACTGTATTCACTAGACAGGTGTCCAGGAAAAGTAATTAAGGAAGGTTCCTCAAATTATAATTACATGACTACATAATTTAAATAAAATATTTAATTAGGGCATTATTCTTTACTTAATAAAGATTAAACTATTTATTTTTTTACTGTATGTGTAGGTGACACACCATTACCTAACCCTCAGATGACCATTTTAGTGAATAACAAAACAATACCTGTGCTCATATTATGACTCTTTTGAGTGAGTGCTATACATTACCTATTCTGTATAAAACCACTGAAAGACACACTATTACCTTTGCCACATACGTAATAGCTACACAATTTATTATTTAATATTAGCTCATTTATTATTAATATTATTATTACTGTCATCATATTCATTTATTTTTTACGTTGTGTTCTTTAAGTACTATCACTGAATGTATCGAAATCTGTATGGTTGTTAATGTTAGCTGCTTTCCTCTCGTCATTCACAAATATGGATAGGCTGTCCTACAAAGTCTGTATTATGTTATTGTATCAATAAAGTATAACAAAAAAAATCATGAACAATGTAAGTTTCGAAAGTAGCGATAGCGGCATTCCATTGAAGAGATAGCGCGCACAGTTATTCTCATAGTGTATAGTGGTACCAGTGGTTTGGTTAAAACAGGTGCCCCTCCAGGCGGATTTTAACCCCCTTTCGGGGAAACTAGTTTGTTTGTAATTGAGCAAAAAGCTACACAGTGGGCTATCTGTGCTCTACTCACCACGGGTATCGAAACCCGGTCTCTTGCGTTGTAAGTCCACAGACATACCGCTACGTCACAGGGGAGCTGTGGAAACTAAATGTACCTGATAGTGAAATAATACGTTGTCTATTTATGATAAAATTTTCATTACTCATTCAAGCTGTCTCCAAACGTTTATTAACTATGAACTCTACTCAGTACTAAGTAAGATACACAAAAAATAAAACTAAAATATCATGAATAAAAACTGAAATCACATTATTTATAAAAAATTAGAGATAAAGTGTACAGAAAATATATAAAGTATTCACATAATTAGTATCGTGAAAGAACTTTTAAACACAACAGAAATGCAATTAAACAAAAGTTAAAAACAGCATAAAATGAATATTATGAAAGCGAATTCAAAAATGTGGTGGAGAAATATCAAAACAGTGAAATTTTCTCACAAGGTTCACTGGTAAGAAAAATCTAAAAAATAATAAATAATAGTATTATTATTAATACTGTTACGTCTCTGTGTTCGTTTGTTAATTTTCCGTTAAAAT